TGAAGAGATGTTCATAAAAACCATGACGGAAAGCTCTATTGGGATGCTAGCTCCAACCATGGAGATGTTGGGATTCAAGAATTTTAGTCAGAATCTTGTATTTGCATACTCTATAATGTATACACAGTTTAAGGCTCATCTGATGATGTTCTAGAATCCGGCTACATCGTCTAATTAAATCTAAAAATTAAAAAGTTGTTTGGTCTTTGTTTTTGCCTTCGTTTACAATCCCTCATATCATTGCTATTTATTTAGGCTGGAGGGTTTTTTCTACTGGATCTGCCGTTTATTCCATTTTACTTTTAGTATCTATCAAATTTGAACCAAGATTAATCTTAGCTGGACGGTTTTTTCTACTGGATCTGCCGTTTATGCCATTTTACTTTTAGTATTCCCCTTCCATTTTCTATCACAACTAACAAACTTCTTAAATCAGAACAATGGTTGCCACTCATCAAGCATTATGCATCGTTCTCGACAAGCACCACGAAGGTTGACCTAATTATAAGTATATCCATACAGAGTCCAGCCTTATAATTAGTTTTAAGTAGCAGTGGTTTAACTTGTAAGTAAATTTTGAATACATGCAAGGCTACAAAATATGCAATGTACCCATTGACATTCGAATAGTTTAAGTGGATTCAGTCATAATAATCCTACACATACAAAAGTGCATGTCATAATTCATTCGACTCATAACTACTAATCAAGTCGACCCCTTTCCCCGTGCATTCGACTCTGCACTGTCTTCTGCCTTGCATATCGTCACGTTCACTGAAATCCGAACGTCTACTTCATCATTGAGGCGAATGCGAGATTGGAACATGCGTGATATATCGTCTACTCTTTCATTTGCCGCATCATTAACTGAGGCATTTGTGCCGCTAGAGAAAGCTAGCAACTATTTACACGAAGTCCACAAAAATTGAACCTTGTTCTTCAGACTTCATTGATATATGGGATTGCAATTTTCTATGGATGAGGTTATAAACTCACAATAATTCAAAAATATTCTTTGAGAAGTGAATGTAAGATATAACTTTAACCTTCTTTTGTGATCAGACTTGAGAACACTAGGGCAATGGAGCTCACAAGTAGTTCAGATGTTTACTGAATTCCATAAGCATATATTTTAAGGGACCAGTCTAAGATTATTCTAATATTTACCACCTATATCCACTTGCGCCACAAATATCAACAGACCAAAGCACATAAATACAAGAAAACAAATATTTTATTTATTTACTCATACCACCACTAATACTATCTTTAGTTTGCAAAATCAAAAGATGACACATGGAAATCACACAGATATTCCAACAGATAACAATTAGTTAATTAAATTCATCTATACAAAACTGAAAACCAATACATGCATTTCTTACATCTCTAAGCTGGAAAATTATGGTAGACAATTTTTTGAAAAATATAAAAACAAGTATAATGCTTACTTTGGACCAGTGCATCCCATTGTTGTCCCTAAGCCTCCATTGAACACTCATAATTTTAAGACACATGCCATTTCTTTCCCCCCTGAAACTATAAAATTAAGACACATGCCATTTCTTCCCCCCCTTAAACTATAAAATTCAAGAAAAATCTTCTAACATAGATGAATTAGCACACATACATGACAATATTGGAAAATGAAAAATTTTGGTGTTTCAACTACCGATTCTACAAAAAAAATTTTGAACACATACGTTTATGCAACAAAGTTGGTTTTTCTACTTGTGCAAAGCCTAAAAATTGAAATTGCAGTGAGCGACGGAATTCTAGTACTGACTTCGCTACCGGCCGGAGATGGTCATGCGTCTGGCGACAAAATGATGGATGCAGGAGCAGTCGGAGTGGAGGCGAAAACCATTGATGGAAAGAGTCGAGTTCCTTGGGTGAAACCTACTGTTTGGCCGGAGAATAATAGAAGATTAACTGGGGCAAAAGGAGTGGACGGTTACTGTTTGGCCAGAGAATAAATGAAGAGTAATTGGGGCAAAAGGAGATGGTGGAGGGTGAAAAGAAGAGTAATTGGGCAGCAGAGAAAGTCAAAAGGGGCTGCAAAAAAAGTCTTTAATTTGTCATAATTTGTTCTTCTCTTTTCACTTTTCAACCTTTATTTGTCCTTCTCTTTTTTTTTTTTCATTTTTTTGGCTACCTCAGTCGGGATTTCATCTGGATACAATCTGTCCGTGTAGCGCGATTGTTTACTTAAAATCTTTAACTAAATTTACATGATTATGTCTATCAACTTCCTCTCTCTTTATTAAGTACTAGTCTTTGACACGTGCGTTGTACGAGTTTTGTATTTATTATATTTTTATTAGCGTCAAAATTGTAGATTTTTAAAATTGGTTGAAGATTCGAAGTATTTGGTAAAGTCTAATCGTTTTAGTTCATTACATTAACGCAGGATGCATGGAATTACATAATCTATCAAATATTATTTTTAAAATTAAATTTTATAAAGTAATATATTTTTATGATTTTTTTTAAGGTGAAATATAATAGTACTAAAAAATATAAAA